ACGGAAGCGTTTGGATTGTATATAACAATCGCAAAGTGTTTAAGCGGCCGATCATTGGCCGCGACAACGATGTCGTCATTCCTCAGCCATCGGTGGCTCTGACACAACTCAATAGGGGTCCGACCGGTGCTCACGACCTCATCATAACGGGTTCGGCCGCTCTGTGTCTCCTCTATTGTCATCAAACTGTGTGTACTCTGAATGGCGGCGAACGAGTGGCCAGTCTTTGCGGTCGCACTTATGTTATGAAAACGGATATCGTTTGCGATTTAGACAACGACTCGGGAGACGACGACTCACTTGAATATGAGCTGAAGACTGGCCAACACTTGCGTATCATTTCGGGTACCGTTAGAGTGAAAGTGTCGGCCGCCGGACACCGAGTCTTTGTCGGCGCCGGCACTCAATCCAAACAGTCCGTCAAATATGAGATTTTTAGTTAATATTCAATTAATAGAGTAATAATAAAAACTCAATTATTTACGAATTGATAAATATTTTATTAATTTAATATTTGTATTAAACTATTTTATAAGTAAAGTTTTGTTAAGTGTTAAGAATCCAAGAAGTGTTTGATCACTGAATTGAGACAAATCATCGATTTTTAGATTCAAAGACTGGTCTGAAAGTGAATTCAATGTTAAATTTTAAGGTTTCATTCAATTCTGTATGTAATGAGCACTCAATGAATTGACAGTCATTTTCAAAGTTTCACAAAATCTAATATTATTTGTCAATCATTTGCTATACTTTTACGTTAAACAGAAAAACAGTGAATGTATTGTTTAAATATGTTATAAGACTTAAGCGTTTTATTCAAATTTTGAAAATTATCTATAAATTTAAATAATTGTTTTAATTGTTTAAAAAATCAAATAATTTGTGTAAGTTTTGGATCGACAGGACAGCAAAGGACAGAACAGATAGTCTTAAAAGACAATAAAAGCCATTAAGTAATTGAAGAGTAAAGACAGCAAAACACAAGAGTCTCACTGAATGGACAACTCTTCGGGCGCTATATTGGAACGATTGCGGGAATTCTGCGGACAGTATTTCATCCCTGGAATCACTCCAGAGAACCGGCGGGCGATTAGTTCCCGACTGAACCGATACGTGGCTGCCGTCACACCCGCTCTCTGTCAACGGGTCTGCGATCGTCTGGACGCCGAGCCGTCGCTCGTGTCGGTCGGGACGCCGTGTTACGTCTTCGGCGACATTCACGGCAACATCAAAGACCTCTATGACATCGAGTGCTTCTTTTGGATGAACAGCGGGTTGGATCAGCTGCAGAACGCGCGCTACGTATTCCTCGGCGATTACGTGGACAGAGGCGACCATTCGGTGGAAGTGGCCGTCTATTTGCTGGCCTTACGCGACGCCGAACCCCATCGGTTCACACTCTTGAGGGGCAACCATGAGGTGAAATCGGTGAACGAACGCTATACTTTTTTACGTGAGTGCCGCAAGAAGTTTGGACTCGTTGTCGGCGAACACATTTGGGATCAGATCAACCGGTGCTTCGCTCGCCTGCCACTCGTAGCCATCGTAGGCCAGAGTGTGTTCTGCTGTCACGGCGGACCCCCGCGATCGGCCACCACTTTGGCGGAGTTGACTCACATCCCGAAGCCGTTGATCAGTCCAAAAGAAGTGCCGTCCGCTCAGGAGATCCTGTGGAACGATCCGATTGAGTCGATGCCCAACTATTCTGTCGACCGAACCGAACAGAATATGCGAGCGCAGGGCAAGCGATGGGCTGTGAATCGGATCCGCGGCACCGGTTTCTACTACACGGCCGATGCCGTACGCGAGTTTCTCGACGCGAATGGTCTCTTGTATGTGGTTCGAGCCCACGAGTGCGTCGACACCGGCTATAAACAGACGTCGGGCGGACGAGTGATCACTGTTTTCTCGGCCTTCAACTATTGTGGCAGAAATAGTACCACCGCTTGTGTGCGAATTCAAATCAGTGCCGAATTCAGCTGCGATATTGACTACATCATACTGAAATACGCCGCACCGCCGCAGACGGGCTGACGATCGCCCGATCGGTTCCAGTCATTCACTAAAGTCAGGCCTTATATTATTGTCTCATTTTGTGTGCCTTTCTTTCTCTTCGGCCGACAAAACCATTCAACAGATCACTAGAAATGTGTCATTGTTTCCCACATTTAGCTCAAACAACATAAAAATACTTGAATTCATAGATGTTGTAGTGATTTGTTGTTTCGGTGAATAAAATTTATCTCAAAACACATTGGATTTGTTTGAAAACTAATTATTAGCTTTCCTTTTGTGATTAAAATGGAAATTATTTAAGAAACAATTAACTAAATAATTTATTTAATTAACATTGTACTTTTAATGTAAATTGTAATGACATTTATTAAATACATAATTAATAAATACATAATATTGTAATCATTTGTTAGCTTTTAATTCCGGCGTCTTTTGCGAGGGAATAGAAGATTGACTTCTCGTCTGATAAGAGATTTTCTGGTGAATCGAATTCAGCTATTCTTCCGTCTGATGGACACAACCAATGGTTAAATGCATTGCAATAGAAACTAAAATCACTTTCACTTACCATTCAATACGAGGACTCGGTTTGAGTCGAGAATTGTATTCAATCGATGAGCGATCGTAAGGACAGTGCAGTCGGCGAAGGCCTGCCTTATAGTGGTTTGAATGAGTGAATCGGTCTCGAGATCGACGGCAGCCGTCGCCTCGTCTAAGATCAACACTTTTGTGTTCCGCAACAGAGCTCTGGCCAGACATATGAGCTGTCTTTGGCCGACCGACAGGTTCTCTCCCCCTTCGGACACCTTATGCTCGAGCGCTGAGTCCAGACCCGAGACAAATGCCTTCAAGTGAGACAACTCTAACACTCGCCATATCTGGTCGTCTGAATAGCTCTAAAAGGGATCCAAATTTGTGCGAATGGTTCCGCTGAAGAGTATCGGGTCCTGAGGTATAATCGTAAGTCTGGACCGTAACTGATGTAAACCAATGTCACTAATGCTGACGCCATCGATGATAATCTTGCCTTCGGTCGACTCAATGAGTCTGAAGAGGGCTAAAGTTAGCGATGATTTTCCGGCACCCGTTCGGCCAACTATTCCTACCTATAAGTGGTTTTCATAAGACATTAATTTTACAAAAGTTTTATAATTATTTCAATAGTTGTATGCCTTCTCTCCGGCGCCAATCTTAATGGATATCTGTTTGAGCACTAAATCGAGTCCTTCTCTATATTTGGTTGAATAAGTTTGAAAATCAATATTTCCGTCGACAGGCCATCCGGGCTGAGGCGCTGTCGCCTCCAAATGCCATTCAGCCTCAGTATTCAAGTCAGTGTACTCTAGGATACGCTCAACGCCTACAATACTATGAATGTAAGAACATAAGTACTGTTAAAAGTTGGCACAAAATGACCATGGTCAAAAGTAAATTATACTGTACTTGGTCTCCAAATCGGATATAACCCTCACCAACCAATTTAGGTTTTGGGTTGTGCTCAGAGCGTACGACACAATGAGGCCGACCTGACTCGCGCCCAACGACTCCCTCTGAAGGACCGCAAAGAGAGCCGAAAATAGTATAATAAAGTTCGCGACATATTCTAGTCGTATGGATAGCCATCGGTTGGCCGCGACGTTGGGGTAGAAACAGGCGTTATTCAGATCCAGCCTATCGTCAGACTCTTTCACAAACTGTTCGCTCACACCATCTGATTGTGAATAGAAATCATAATTACTATAAAACAATTGTTAACTACTGTATATATAAGTTTGTAAATGAGATGTGCATTACAGGCGCGAATAGTGGCCACACCGGACAGGGTTTCACTGAAATGGGCATAAATTGGCGATTTTGTGATCGATTCCAGTCGTTTCAGTTGCCGAGAGGTTGTTATATAAAATTTCTATAAATTTATGTCATATTCTGTAAGTTTCAATACTATTTCATGTGATAATAATTCGATGCAAACCTGTATTAAATAGAAAATAATGGCCACCGGAACGATGATCGCCAAAAATATGGGAATTTCTATAGAAATTATTCAAAAATATAAAAAAATGTTTCATTAGATTGAAAACGAAATAAATTTAGTAATCATTGAAATAACTTACGCATAGATATAATAACTAATGTGGAAAGTGTTGTGAAACCACAGGTGAGCACAACTCTGTAATCAAATATTAAAAGTTTTAATCACGTTTTCAATACAATAATCACAATTCAATGTCTGACAAACCGTATGGTTTGCTGAAGAGTGGAGTCACAGGTGTCGACATCTTTGCTGAATCTGTTGAGTATCCGTCCCAATGGTGTGGTGTCGAAGAATGACATCGGAGAGTGCATTATCTGTTCCAACATTTTGAAGTGCAAATACGTGGCCGCTTTGATTGAGCCCCGAGTCATCGCATACCACCCGTACGTTACGAACACCGTCTGAATTATGCCCAACACTCCTATAAAACGAGACACAAAAGTAAGACTCAAACTAATCAATGGATCAAATTGTTTAAACAAATGATACCATAAATGGAGAAATAATAGGCAGTGCTGTCTCTTTCGCCTCTTTCGACCGAATCGGACCATTCGGCTAACCATAGACTGGTTCCGGCCACTGATGTCTGCATCAGCGCATAGTTTACGAACACAAATTATACACCAAAACAGTGATATAGCCTTAAAGTATCTGAAATACACGGAATACTTGACTCGTCCGGTCTCTGCCTTCTCCGCCTCAACCAGTTTTGATTTATCTGCTTTCGTCTCCTTAACGGTTCCCGACTTCTTCTTCACGACACTGTCGTCCTCTTCCTCTTTGTTCAAACTGTTGGCCGAATACTGATTAATCAGATCAGCGAAGTGTCCCTTTCGTTGCATTAACTCGTCAAAAGTTCCCGTCTCTCCGATCTTTCCGTCCGTTAAGACAATTATCTGATCCGTCGTCGAAAGGAATGTCAGACTATTTGTCACCAGAACTCTGGTCTTATTCTTGAGGACACCAGTCCTCGAATCCATCACCTCTTCGAAGATATGTTTCCAACGTGTGAATCAACTATAAGTCATATCATTAACAGTATTGTTAAAACATATGAAACATATTGCGTAAGAGTGTCAATCATTCAAACCGGCAGATAATGGGTCGTCGAAGAGGAACAGATCGGCATCACTAAAGCAGGCCCGGGCCAGACTCACCCTCTGCTTCTGGCCTAATAATGTGGTCAAT